CCTCCGCTGCCATGGCAACGGGGGCGCCCAATGGTAGCAACCCGGCCCTGCCACCCGGGCCAATCACCGTGAAGGAGCCGGCGTGGGCCAGCCAATCGGGAGGCGACTTCCGCCTCCTGGTCCCTCCTCCCTTCCAGGAAGCGGGTGAGGATGAAGGAGGCATGCCGAGAGCGGCGCGGGGGCTGAAAAGAACAATACGCATGCGCCATCCGGGCCGCGCTTGCGTAGTTGATCGGTTTGGACATGCGCATGCGCTGGTGGGCCCCGCCCCCCCTCTGGTTAATGTGCATGTGTCAATTCCAGACCAGCCGCACATCATACCCTCTATTACCATGCTTGCTGGAGGCTCCTAGTGCGCCTGCGCCTGCCCCGCTGCCTCCTGGGAATCATAGTTTTCAACCCCTTCCTGGAGATTTAAAGGGCCAGTTACAGAAGAGGCCCGAGCCTGAGCGTAGCGTCGTTCACTTCTCCCACCCCCAAGGCAGTGGGCTTGAGCCCTAGAGCTGGGTTTTACTCCGGGGGTGATGTCACCAGGAGTTATTTCACTGCCCTTGCCTGTGCAGTCAGCCCAGCAACATAGCTGGCTGGCTTTTAGTTTCCCCCCCCACCCATGACATCACTCCTGTGCCCATGACAGTGATGTCACAGCCCTGTCCTCCCCACCCCCAGCAGCCAATCTGGGACACGTGGGGGCTGGCACCCACACACACACACAAAAGGAGAGAGAGACCTTCTGACCTCCCCCAGCCAGTACCCCCCAGTGCACGACAGGCATCTTGTACATGCCCTCCCCATGCCAGCCCCAAATCCAGGGTGCAGCTCAGTAGGAGCCAGCCTCTTGCCATGCAACTGGGACTTGCCTTACGATCCCCTGTTCTGCCCCCAGCAGGCCGGCAGCACCTTCAGCAGGGTGCCCCAGGAACCCTGGAGCAGGGCCAAGTCACCCCCAGGGGGCAGAAACACCCCCCACCCCCAGAGGGGCACAACAGCTCTCCAGTCACCTGGGAAGGGAGAAAAGGGATGAATCTGGGGGTACTGGCCCCATAAAGCACCCCATTCCCCCACCCCTGCCCCGCCAAATCCATGATCCCCAATATAGCCAAAGAAGCTGTATTTTAGCGGCTCCAGAAAAGCTCTCAATAATCCCCCCAAGACAAGAGGGAGGGTTTAGGGGGTGCTGCCACCTGCTGAGCTTTGGGAGGGGGGTCTAGGGAAAATCCAAGGGCAACTGGGTGGGGTCTAGAGAAGGCTGGTTTTGGGGTGCAGGGGAATGGGGAGCCCCCAAAATATAGGACAGCGCCACGCTCTGAGGCTGCCAGGCCCCCATACAGGAGGAGCTGGGGCACAAACAGGGAGGGCGGCTGGCTCTCCCAGCCCCTGGCTTCCAAAGATGTTGCGCGCTGCGGGGGG